TCCAACAGTGCGGCGCTCCCTCAGCGCTGACCCTCCTACAGTGTGGCCCCTCTTCAGAACTGCGCTGGTACTTCTGACCTCAAATTTCTCTCAAATATCTGCGTCCTTGAGTTTCAACGCAGAGGCCTGGGCACTGCCTCTGAGCCAGGCCTGTGACATGTTTGATTTGTGGGCAGTAAAAGTTATACGAGCCTGGGGACACGCTCAGTTTACAGAAATACTGCTGAACGTCCAGTTCATCTCTTGTAAACCCATGTTCAGGTGATTTATTATTGTCACATGTACCGAGATACAGTGAGAAGTACTGTTTTGCATACTAACCAGATAAATCATACCTTACATTAGTACATCAGGGTAATAGAACAGAATGCAGATCATAGTGTTACAGCTACAGAGAAGGTGCAGAGAAAGACCAATACTGGTTAGGCCACTTTTGGAATACTGTGTGCAATTCTAGTCTCCCTGCTGTAGGAATGATTTTGTGAAACTTGAAAGGGTTCAGAAAAGATTTACATGGATGTTGCCAGGGTTGGAGGGTTTGAACTATAGAGAGAGAGGCTGGGTCTATTTTCCCTGGAGCATCAGAGGCTGAGGGGTGACCTTATAGAGGTTTATAAAATCATAAGGGGCATGGATAGGGTAAATAGACAAGGGTAGGGGAGTGCAAAACTAGAGAGCATAGGTTTAATGTGAGAGGGGAAAGATTTAAAAACGACCCGAGGGGCAACTTTTTCACGCAGAGGGTGGTGTGTGTATGGAATGAGCTGCCAGAGGAAGTGGTGGAGGCTGGTACAGTTACAAAATCTAAAAGCCATCTGGATGGGTATGTGAACAGGAAGGGTTTAGAGGGATATGGGCCAAATGCTGGCAAATGGGACTAGATTAATTTAGGATATCTGGTCAGCATGGACGAGATGGACCGAAGGGTCTGTTTCCATGCTGTACATTTCTATGACTCTAACTCTAATATGAGAGGTCCGTTCATAAGTCTGATAACGGCAGGGAAGAAGCTGTTCTTGAGTCTGTTGGTCTGTTTTTTGAGCTGGGCTGTGACTTTTAGTCCTGTCTGGATGTTTCTGTAGACACAGATGGTTGGCAAAGACAGACCATGGATGGAGGGGAGTCTCCACTCTCCTGGGAGAAGGGACGGATCAGTCTGTTCCCAGAAGACGGGGAATGGGAATATTTTGTTGCACCAGGTGAGTACTGAGCAACGTTCGGGATAATGCACGACTTCAAACAGTTGAGACCTCAATAGATAGCATGTCTCCTCTGGTGGTTTGCTCATTGGGAGGATGCTCTGACGTATTGTTCCTTTGAGACTGTTTCTTTGGAACTTCCCATGGGACAGAGGGATGTACAAATCAGGAGTAGACCAGTCAGCCCCTTGATCCTAGCTCTGTCATTCTCTAAGCTCATGGCTGATCTGATTATAACCTCAAACTGAGAATCATTCACCCCCTTGCTCTAGATGAATCTATCTACCTCTACCTTCAACATATTATGGCACTGTAGCCAGGAGGATGTTG